AGAGAGAGAGAGAGAGAGAGAGAGAGAGAGAGAGAGAGAGAGAGAGACGGAGAGAGAGAGAGATTCGTGTGTGCATAGTTAGCGAGGCGACCGCACAGCGCGCCGTACTAACCTGACAACGACGGCGTGCTCCCCGACCTCTCGTGGTGTGAACTCAACGTGGATCTTACCAGCGGTCGGTCGCGACGTGTGGTGCGGCACTGCCTGCTTGCTCGGAGCTGCTCATATCAATCATCATTATCATATTATAATTACTTCAGTATTATATTATAATTACTCTTTATTCATATACTTCAGTATTATATTATAATTACTCTTTATTCATATACTTCAGTATTATATTATAATTACTTCAGTATGATATTATATTATGATACTCTTATATTATATTATGATACTCTTCCATTACATTATAATACTGATATATTATATTATATTATAAGTCAGGATTAATAGCCGCGCCAGTGTAAATCACCGGCGCACACTTCCACGCGGATAACGCCACGCGGGGAGAAGCGAGATTCGTCAGGTCGTCGTCGTCGGCGCGTGTATATGAGACCACAGCAATAAAAAAAAAGCCTAATAACGCGGGCCCACGTTTACGAGCCTGGATCGTTATCATTACATTAATGTGGGCTGTCGGCAACCCTTGCTTAATAAAAAACTGCTGTCACTGCACGCGCGTGCTAGAGGCGAGTGGCAATGCGCGCGCGGCAATGAATGCCGAACGGCTTTTCGACTTTTCGTGTTTTTTTTTGTCAAATTTAGAAATGGCCTCCGTTCAGAGCTGGCAAGTGTTAAAGCTAATATGAAACTAATATATACACGCGTGCAGTAATATGCCTTTTGATGATTCTAGTTATATAATTTAAATTCACCCATACGTTGTTTGTAAGTTGCGACCAGTTTACTGGCGACATAAACGAAAATTCTCTCTTACGTGATAATCATAAGAATAAACGAGTTTTCTATTACAATACTGCTTTGCCTGTGTTACGTCATTGCATAGTCAAAACATGTATCCACAATGTTAACTTTCACTCATAGATAACTTCGCTTGTAATAGGAGAGATCTGGAGATTACCTACTTATTGTTGCCGAAAATTACCTTCCTTAGAACGCATGTCCAATTATATGTTGAAATTCGATGAGTCACCATGATTAACGTTTCGCCAATTTCGCGGTACGAACGTGTTTTTTCTGGAACGCATTACTCTGGTAATTAATGTAGCGTATTACTGTATCCACATTACGGACGCATATAGTCCTATTATTAATCCAACTAAATTGATCGTAGCGCATCAAGAGTCCGCTAGAGGCTATAAATATTCATAAAGAGTACCCATAAGTTCATCACGATCTCCCGGGTATATGACAATATTAAACATTCTAAAGATGCTTTAAAATAAAATTCTACAAGCACTAACGATAATTTATTAGAAAATCAACAAACGGAGGGACGAACGAGCGGACGCGACTGTTGGTGACCTTGGTATACGTGGATGAAGGTCGCAGACCGAAGAGGGACTTACAAGTGATGATGACTGAACAGTCGGCGGGTCCGGCGTCACGTGGCTCCACGGTGAAACCAACCGCTCTGTTGACTGGCACCTTGCCAAAAGCATCGCCGTGTACGTACACCCTGCTGACGTCCACGACGGCTCCTGTTCCCTTCTCTACCCGCACGGTAAAGGGGCTGCCTGCATACACACCACACAACACACCGCGTTATACACAGATATGTCCACCACGGCTCCTGTTCCCTTCTCTACCCGCACAGTAAAGGGGCTGCCAGCACACACACCACACTACACACCGCGTTATACACAGATATGTCCACCACGGCTCCTGTTCCCTTCTCTACCCGCACGGTAAAGGGGCTGCCAGCACACACACCACACACCACACCACGTTAAACACAGTTAATTCCACCGACAACTACTGCTCTTCCCCCCCCCCACTATACTCCACAGTCTACTTACACTTCAACAGGCTTTTACAAACTTAGGTTACAAGGTGCTTAGAGAGGTTGTTAGCATTACGCACGCAAGATTTCTGCCCATCCTCACCGCATCGATACATGGTTACCATAAAGCATCATGCACGTCAGAACATCATGAGATACACGGCTGCCATGCCGCTTAATGAAACACGTCTTTGCCGACGCTTGTAAAAGTAATTCGACGCGGCGTGGCACGCACCTGGCACTATCTCGCCGTTGAAGTTCAGCTGGATCTTGTGTGGTTTCGCCTCGGCTGGCGTGAAGTAGACAGCGTAGCGATTGCCTCCTATGTACTCGGCCGAGGCTGGCAGGTCCCCATCGTTAACCGTCACCTCTAGGTTGCCTGATCCAGCCTCGCTAGCATCAACTGTACGTAGCAGGACAGAGCGGGAGTGGTTGTGTTACCGCGTGTGTGTTAGCATGTGTCAATATGTCCTTATCAATATGATATATTATCATATAATATATTATATAATAATAATAATTTTGGTCTTGTTTTAGAGAGCAAAGAATTCTGCTTAATGCAATACCATGAAATTATTCTAGACTCGCAGGCAAAGTAGAATAATGTAGTCGTGAAATAGCACTATTTTCCCGTTTTTCCGTTGTACACTCTAGGTATTATCCGCTCTTGATATATATATATATATCAGAAGTAGATAATAGGGAAGGGAAGGATAGGGATGGGAGATTGGACATCGACGCAACACTCGGCGAGCTAATCTTTGACCTATTTACAGCTGGTATGCCCCCTACGCACGCACACCGCATCGCCGAGGGCACAAGAATGCGCAAGTCTTTATATTGTTATATTAGTAGCTGCCTATTGTTTCAAGTTAGGTGGATTATGGATTCATTTTGCTGGCAACAGAATAGAGAATTGTGTCATACGTTTTAGTCTGTATCTCCGGATTGCGGGTGTATACGAGGAAACGATTTCGCACGATGCTAGGCGAATGTACTGTGTACGATTTGAGCTCAAGTTGGTTGAGTTACGCGTAATAAATCGTAGGTATTCTAAGGCTAGTAAATGACGAATTTCCCATGTTTATTGAAGTCACACTCCTTCCCTATTATCTACTTCTGATATATATATATTTATTTATTTATTTAACTTCGCAAAAAGCGACTGCCACACAACAAAGGCTCAGGCTTAATAAGCCAATGCTGTTGAGTTGAAAACTTCCTCACACAGAATCCAAGACAATATTACACACGATTGAAGTGAAGAACTATATATTATATAAAATTAGAGGCACTGACTACAGCTGCTTGATAATCAGTTTGCTATCATCTTATGACACTGTCGTAGGCATACACCCAGTTCTCAACACCACAGCCAAACCCCTTGTGATGGATGTCATTGTTTGAAATTATACCACCCACATAATACCAGGAGTGTATAATATAGTGTATATCGCTATATTATACACTCCTGATAATATGTCACCTTAGATACTCCCTCTGCTATCACCCCGATCACACCCGTATTACAAAAAGATGTACGTGCATACATGAGTGTATGCGTGCGTGCGTGCGTACGTGAATGCGTGAGTGCGTGCGTCCGTACGTGCGTGAGTGTATGCGTGCATGCGTGCACGCGTGAGTGTATGCGTGCGTGCGTACATGCATGCATGAGTGTATGCGTGCGTGCGTATGTGTGCACGTACCGTGCGTTCCCCTCGTTCTGCACATAGTTGGGGATTTTCACGTCCGCACACGAGATGACAATCTCCAGGTTTCCGGTTCCCGCTCTGCTGGCGTCGACTGCAATGCGATAGCACACGACGACGTCGACACGTTAGCAACCAATCACAGAAGAGCATAATAACAGCACGGGATAAAACAGAACCATCACAATACGTAGCGAAATTGCACAGAATGACATAATCTCAAGCCAGGATGAAAGAGTAGCAGGCAATGACTCAAAGAAATTATAAATCCCAATGCAGAATGTAATAGAAGCACAGTGAACAGTAATGAGACAGAGTGTGATGATGACACTGGAAACCATTAAATGAGTCTAATCAAATAGTATGTGCAGTCTGACGTTGTCAATTTACGAGACAGCGACTGTATTTCACGATGTTAACGAAGCTTACGCGGCTGATCGCTTATTGATGCAGTGGCATATAGAAGAAATGTATACATATCGCTAATGATTTACGGTAGCCTCAACAATAAATAATGGGAGTGCATGCGTTCTTGCTGTCCTGCTGCTTCCTAATATTAAATTACCTTCTTATAATGTCTCCAAATGTACTGTCTGGGTGGTGAGCTAAATCACACTAGATTCTAGATATATTTTCAACATGTTATATGTGCGCTTTACAAAACAG